GAGCCTGAACAGGGGGAGGGGCAGAGGAAGAGGGAGAAGCAGACTCCCTCCCTGAGCAGGGAGCCCCATGTGGGGCTCGCTCCCAGGATCCTGGGATCATGACCTGAGCCAAAGGCAGATGCTTAACCGACTGAGCCACCCAGATGCCCCTTAAATTACATTTTTGAGTTATTTTCTCTAGGGCTTATAATATACATCTTAACAGTATCTGCTTCAGATATATACTAACTTCATTCCAGTGTAATATCAAAACTTTATTCTTATGTAGCTCTATTCCCTCCCCTCATTTCTGTGGTATTATTGCTATACATGTTACATCTGCACAAACCCAAGAATACATTGTCACAATCATTACCTTATATAATCTTACTTCTTTTAAAAAATTAGAGAGGAGAACAAGTACATATTTATAGTTTTTGTTGTATTAACCTAATTATTTCTGGTTCTCTACCTGTGGATTTACCATCTGGTGTCATTTTCTTACTCTAATACATCTTTGTTCCCATACACTTTCTTTTTTGCTGATTTGTCAAATATATTTCTATATGATATAGGCTCAACAATACAATTATATACATATTGTTTGATGCAATTATATTTTAAATAAGAACTATGCAATTATTCTGGTTTTTGTATTTACCTACATTAATTACCTTTACCGGTAGTGTTTTTCCATATGAATTTGAATTACTGTCTGTTATTACTTGCTTTCAGCCTGTAAAACTTCCTTTAGTATTTCCCATAAGGGAAGTCTGCTAGCAACACATTCTCTCAGTTTACCTTTGAATGTCTTTATTTGGCTTTCGTGTTTGAAACATAGTATTATTGGATATAAAGTTGGCAGCTGAGAATTTTATATTTAAGCACGTTGAATTATGTTGTCCCACTGCTTTCTGGTCTCCATTGTTTCTGATGAGAATCTAATCTTTGTGGTTCCCTTGCATGTGATTAGTCATTTTTTCCTTATAGTATTCAAGATCCTCTTTTTGTCTTTGTCTTTCACCATTTTGACTATGATATGTCTAGTGTGGTTTTCTGAGCTCATCTCATCTTAGATTATGAAATAATGTGTTTTTTGTCAAATTTGGGAAGTTTTCAGCCATTTTTTTCAAATTTTTTAATTCCCCACTTCCTGCTGGTACTCCCATTACATGAATGTTGGTGCACTTAATGGTGTCACGCACTTTTCTGAGGCTCTGTTCAGTTTTCTTTATTCTTTTATCTTTTTGCTCTTCAGGCCACGTAGTCTGTATTAATCTGTCTTCAAGTTTGTTGCTTCTTTCTGCTGCCAGTTCAAGTCTACTGTTGATCTCTAGTCAACGTTTCATTTTGGTTTACTGTACTTTTCAACACCAGCATAGTCCACTTGGGTTTTTTTTAAGACTTATTCTTTATTTATATTCTCTATTTGAGGAGACCCTGTCATCATGTTTTCTTTTAATTCTTTATGCATGGTTTCATTTGGCTCTGAACATTTTAAAAATAACTGCTTTTAAGTCTTTGTCTGCTAAGTCTACTATCTAGGCTTCATTAAAAGCCTGTTTTATTTACTTTGAGTGGGTCACACTTGCATATTTTTTAGAGTGTCTTGGAAGTTTTTGTTGAAAACTGGATATTTTAGATAATATACTGTAACAACACTGGATACTGACCCCACCCTCCAGCCCAGAGCTGGTTGATGTTTGCTTGGTTGTTCTCTTGTTTATTTAGTGACTTGGCTGCACTAATTATGTGAGTTCTATTTCTAAAATATGTAGGATGCAGCCTCTGATGTCTCTACTTGTTTTTCTTTTAGCTTGGCAACCTAGATGTTCCCTCCCGGGTCTGCATAAGCCACTAATTGGTCAAAGATTATGCT